TKKTGAAGCCGACAGCCCCCTCCCTCAATTTCTTCTTCTTTTTCGGTTCAGCCACCTCCACCTTCCTCCTTCTTGTTCTCCGGCRAGACACCGAGCAGCCGCGCCTCCCTCGACCATACCTGCAACAGCTTCACGGTGGTGCGACGATTTCTGGCGGGGACCCACGAACGTCGGCGCAGCAGCGAACGGCGGCGCGGCGCCTTCCGGCGGAGACCCACGAACAGCGGCGTTCCTTTGAACTCTAGCGGAGGCTTCGACGCGATTTCACGGCGGTTCCGGCAGTTCCATAGCAGCAGCGGCGCGTCTCCATCCTCGGGTGTTCCACAGCAGCTACGGCCAGCCCAGATCCACGATTTCATGGCGGTGTGGTGTCTCGAGAAACAGCAGCAGCATCCCCACCTCACTCCGGTGGCCTACAGCAGCGACGTTCTTCGGTAGTTGCTGATTTGGTGCGTTGCCCCTGCTGCAACTCGTGGACAGCAGCGTTACAGTGGCATTCGGGCTTACCCACACCCGTTCGAAGCCCGATCTAGGTTACCCACACCTATACGAAGTCGATTTTGGGGTAATGAGTCGTTTGAACCCTCTTAGAATTGAGTTTGAAGGCTGAATATTATATGTAACTTGCTGTTTTTTCTGTTTTAGTGCCTAGGTGTGAGATCGACGCCAAACTTAAGAGCGCGGTTGTGTGTAAGTAGCACCAGGGGGCGAGTGCGTGAGTTGCAAATTGTTAATGGAATGGTTTTTGTGCTGATTTTTAGTTAGAATAATTTGTTTCGTGCATATAGTAATTGTTAGTCTTGGTTTTGTGAATGCCTAGTGATTTCTGTTGAGTTACATGTTGTTAATTCTATTGTTAGACATTATGGGCATGCATGGTTTCTCGTCGTTGATTGTGGCTRGGCAGTTCTGATTGGTTTTGTGCTGATTTTTAGTTAGAATAATTCATTTCGTGCATATAGTAATCGTTAGTCGCGGTTTTGTGAACGCCTAGTGATCGCTGTTGAGTTACATGTTGTTAATTCTATTCTTGGACATTATGAGCATGCATGGTTTCTCGTCGTTGAATGTGGCTGGGCAATTCTGATTATTGTGGTTGGAAGAGGTTGATCTTTGACGTTTGAAAACATGTTGAGATGAAATGCATATACTGATCGTATGTTACTTAGTTTTATGTCGTTTAGTTGGGAGCTGTTGGGTAGTGTTTTGTTTGGTACGATTAAATGTATGCTGGAAAATTTTGTTGTGACTTGGAATGAGGGTTTATTTGTAGGTGGTCACGGAAGGGTTAGTGAAGTGGTGGAGGGTGAAGGGTAAAGGGACGGGGTGATGGACCGTTAACCCTGAGTATTCTGACCTGGAAAATGCATATAAATCGCTTGGAGGTTCAAGCCTTGAGTAGTGGCCTTGGGGATAAATGACAAGGCCAGACGTTAAATTTTCTGTAAACGTGTATTGGGGACTTGGGGATAAATGTCAAGGACCAATACGCTGGGAAGTCATCGGTACCTTGGGGATAAACGGCAAGGACCGGTGCACAGTTCAGGCCTTGGGAATAAATGGCAAGGCCGAACGTCAAGTTTCTGGAGAGGAGTATTGAGGCCTTAGGGATAAATGTCAAGGGTCAATACGACTCGAGGAGTTAGGCTTGAGGGATTAAAGAAGAGTGGAGCTTGCGAAGTAGTGGTGTTTGGCCTTGGGAATAAATGGCAAGGTCGGACATCAAGTACCGGAGAAGCAGGAGGTACAGTGACTTGGGAATAAATGTCAAACTATTAGTTCGCTATCTCTCTCTGCTTATTTGTTTGCCTTGCTCTTGTTTTGTTCTAAATGTCAAATTAATTGCTCGCTATCTCTCGCTGCTTATTTGATTGCCCCGCTATTGTTTTGTTCTTTATGTTGGGACTGTGAGCATAATTTATTTTGTGCTAGTTAGGAAGTGCTACTTACGGAGTACCTTATGTACTCACCCCCTTTTTCTTTTTGTACCTTTATATGTTTCAGGTGTGAACGAGGTCGACCGCGGTGATGATGTGAAGAGGGCTTGACCGAGGAAGGATCACTAGCTTAGTTAGTGAGGATAGGGGGAAGGGTAGTTGGGTACGATTAGTCTGTAACGCCCCGCGTTACTCAGGTTAGCTTGCCCCGAGTTCCGGAAAATTTTATAACAAAATGGATTTTTATTTATTGTTTCATTGATTTATTTCATTGTTATTTTTTTAATTGATTCATCAGTGATCTTATTTAATTTAAGTGTGACATCTCGACTGGTGTGTATTGTTACAGTTTTAGTGGTGAGTTTGTGACGCCCGAGAGGAGGAGTACATGAATGAACCGATACCAAATCCGAATGAGAGGGATCCTGAGATTATTGAAGAATGGTCAATAAAAGGGTTAAAAAGAATTGATAGTCACTACCTATACCAACAAGGTGCATCTTTCTTTTCGGTGGCTCAATCGTAAGAACTCTGCAGTTAAGTGTGCTTGGCTTGGAGCAATATTAGGTTGGGTGACCTCCTAGTTGATTTACTAGGAAGCATGTGAGTGAGGACAAAGCATGCTGGAAGGACTCGTGTTGGTCTGTAGAGGCAGTCTATGCTCTTCTAAGTTGTTTAGAACTTGAAGGTGGCGCAGCTAGGTCGCAGGGGAATGTCGGGGCAGAGAGGTGCCGAAACCGGATTTCGAATCCTGGGCCTCGGGCGTTACAGATGGTATCAGAGAGGAACCTCTCCTAGTAAGATGTGGTTCGAGGACGAACCAAGGCAGAAGCTGGTGGGCATGTGACGCCCGAGAGGAGGGAGGGGTACATGAATGAATCGATACCACATCCGAATGAGAGGGATCCTGAGATTATTGAAGAATGGTCAATAAAAGGATTAAAAAGAATTGATAGTCACTACCTATACCAACAAGGTGCATCTTCCTTTTCGGTGGCTCAATCGTAAGAACTCTACAGTTAAGTGTGCTTGGCTTGGAGCAATATTAGGTTGGGTGACCTCCTAGTTGCTTTACTAGGAAGCATGTGAGTGAGGACAAAGCATGCTAGAAGGACTCGTGTTGGTCTGTAGGGGCAGTCTATGCTCTTCTAAGTGGC